TGATCTTACCGTTTGTGAGACTGACCCCGCATCAGCCTCTCTGCTGACAGCGTGGAGCCTGCTTGGGATTCTCTCTCCCTCTCTCTCTCTGCTCCTCCCCTCCCTCTCTGTCTCAAAATAAATAAAATTTTAAAACTTTAAAAGAAAAAAAAAAGGCTGTGTTTCTAGGATAAGTGCAGGTGTTGGCCGTGAAAAGCCCCAAGAGTTGCAGGATCAGCTAGGTGAGAGATGGCAGGAGAGGGAGACTTTGGAAGAAGGCTGAGAACGGAGGCCTGAAGGGAGCCTGAGAGACTGTGAAAGAGGCTTAGAGACCACAAGTGACACACAGCTGTGGAGGCCAATGGGCTGGGTGCGACTGGATGTCACCAGGAACCAGGGCACGCAGATGTTTGAGCTGACAAATAATTAAATTTAGTTTTGAAATTGAACTTTGAAGCGAAACAACTTCAAGTATTGAAAAGACCGTAGCTAAAATAATAAACCTTGAATTTACTCACAAAGGAAATTGAACGACTTCAAGAAGAGAATGAGAAATTGAAGTCGAGGCTGAAGACCATTGAAATACAGGTAACCGAGAAATACTTTACCAAAATTCTTGAAAGAGCTGCTTACAGAATAAATACTGAGGGTGTTTTGTTTAAATCTGATTACAGGCAACACAGGCATTAGAGGAGAAGTCAAAACTGGAAAGAGCACTGCGGGACTTACAGCTTGACCAAGGAAATCAAAAGGTGAAAGACGTTTGAAATGCAGCCGATGACACTGTAATGATCTTGTGACAGTTGGTAACCACGCTTATCACGAGGATCACTTTGAGCGGTACAGAAATCTCGGATGAATACGATGTCTGACTGAGGCTGATAGGATATTACACGTCAGTTACCCTTCCATTTTTTGAAGAGGCGGAATAAGTTTTAGCTATCTTTGTCGTGGGTTTCTAATAGAATAAATAGACTAAAAGTGCAACCTTAACGCGAAGCCTTAGTTACTGTTCGTTCTGCCCCTCCTCTGCCACTCCCTGAGAGGGATGCCACCACGGTCCTGCAGGGGGACATCCCTGTCCAGGGAAGGCCGGGAGAGGGCCGAAGGGGCAGGCCCGCCGCTCACCCGTCTCACGGTCCCCAGAGCCCGCCAGCATACAAGATACTCTCAAGTTTATTTTTTTTTTTTAGCTCTTCTCCCTTTTACCTTGACCTTCCAACTACAATGGGGGGAAAGGAAATGATGAAAGGAGGGGTTTTTAGTTCATCGGATTGGTATTTGGCGTTATTATACAGAACTTCTGATGAAGTCGGCCTTTGGTGAGTGTGACAGAATAGGGTGAATTTACTCGGTCTGCGTCTTCAAACCCGCCTCCGTCTGGTGGCACTCGTGTAATGCACCCAAATCCGGTGGTGGCTCTCCAGGCCCGTCCGAGGGGCGTGACCGAGGATGGCTCTGCCGGCGGGAGGTTCTCGCGTGCACAGGTGGCCTTGCCGTGGACGCTAGACGCTGCCACAGACTTCCTGTCAGCGGGGCCGCTGGAGGGAGTTTTCAGCGTAGCCCCAGCTTTTCCAGTGGTTGTACCGCCATTGCTGATGTCCGCCAAATGGTCCCCGACTTGCTTCATTGCACTTCTATGGTTTCCTTATGGAAAACTTCAAACTCATACGGAAGTAGAGGGTACGGTGTCATGCACCCCGGTGCCCGTCACTCGGCTTCCCGGTCCCCTGGGGTTGGCCAGGCTGCCTTCCCGCTTCCTCCCCGTCGCCCCTCCCTTCACGTTTCTTTGAGGCAAATCTCAGCCATGACGTCATTTCATCTGGAGACGTCTTTAAAATAGGATAATTCTGGGGCACCTGGGTGGCAGTCGGTTAAGCGTCCGATTTCGGCTCAGGTCAAGATCTCATGATTCATGAGTTCGAGCCCCTGGTGGGGCTGTGTGCTGACAGCTAGGAGCCTGGAGCCTGCTTCGGATTCTGTGTCTCTGCCCCTCCCCGCCCCTCCTGCTCTGTCTCTCTCAAAAATAAACATTTACAAAATGATAAAAAAAATAATAAGTCAAAATAAAATAGGATAATTCTTAGATGGCTACAAAAATAACAAAGGAGAGATCTATGATTTTCAATCCTGTATCAAGGACTGTAGATTTAGAAAACAGAGCTAAACACTCCAGAGCAGCTTCACGATTTCTCAAAACAATTGCAAACATTTTTGGAGAAGAATTTCTCTTAAAACTACTTTTAAGATCTGGGCAAAAGAAAATATGTGCACGCTTTCACTAGCTGTGCAGAAATAAAACCTTCGTAAGGACCAGACTTCAAACGTGAGTGAGGAGTTTGTCGTTGGTAGTTCTGTTCCGTCTTCGTATTTAGCAATTATCGACCATTTTCCTGGCCTAGTAATACAGCTTTTTCCGTTATAAGTTTATGCAGTCAAAAACAAGCTCCAGCTGCTTTTTGTTGTGCCGACAGGGTGTGCAAACATGCATATTGCTTTAAAAAACAAAAACTTAAGATCTTCTACATTTAGCAAACCGTATAACCAGTAAGTATTAATTAGGCTCTCATGATATTTTTATTTATTTATTTATTTTTTTAAATTTTTTTTTCAACGTTTTATTTATTTTGGGGACAGAGAGAGACAGAGCATGAACGGGGGAGGGGCAGAGAGAGAGGGAGACACAGAATCGGAAACAGGCTCCAGGCTCTGAGCCATCAGCCCAGAGCCCGACGCGGGGCTCGAACTCACGGACCGCGAGATCGTGACCTGGCTGAAGTCGGACGCTTAACCGACTGCGCCACCCAGGCGCCCCATCTCTCATGATATTTTAATGTAAATAATGACTAAGACCTACGTCTATTAAATTTTTGATAGAAAGTTTTCGTATTAAGTTGATTATTTTACCATCTGTGTCACTCAACATTTCTTCAGGATGTTTTCTAAGTTGACTTTTCAAAACAGAAACCCGTCCGCCCTCCCTACCCCAGGGCACACACAACCTTGTCAGATTTGAGATCTCACCTCTCTCCTGTCCCTCTGTGGAGTTCCAGCAACGCATACATGACAATTCGCAGATTTGGAGATCAGCGGCCACTGAGCGTCTGCCGTGTGCAGGACGGCGTGCTCTAGGGCCGAGGGTGACTGGGCGCGCCGGCGACCCTCAGGGATCTGGAGCTTACCCGGGCCGGCCGGGGAGGCCGACGTGCATGCCCAAAACATTTGTTCTCATGTCACGAGGTTGAATGACTGTCGTAGAACAGTTGCCGGTTCGGATGTCAACATGAAATTATGTCAGTGCATGTGTTTTCCGTAGGATTTTATAAAGGCCCAAGACTTGAACGACCTGGAAAACACAGTTGCTGCTTTAAAGAGTGAGTTTCAGAAGACACTTAATGACAAGACAGAAAACCAGAAGTCCCTGGAGGAGAATCTGGCAACAGCCAAGCACGACCTACTCAGGGTCCAGGAGCAGCTGAGCATGGCTGAAAAGGTCAGACTTGTCCGCGTGTGTCTGCCCAAGTGGGGAGGAGGGGGAGCTGAGGGAGATGCTGGAGGACAGCTGCGGATTTACCTTGTTTTTTCTCAAGGTGTCAGCCAGTGCGTGTTAGAGATCAATCATTTCTGGGCATTGAGAGAATCTTCTGTCTTTGGCACTAAACTATCTGTGGAAATAAAAAAAATCTCCACTCCTTCCTCTGGTTTGGTAAAATACTCCTGCACGGACGGCTTACGTGTGCTGCCCTGTGCCCTGCGATGCCCATCCCCACGTTGCCTGGCAGAGGGATAGGTGACTTCTCTTTAAAGGATTCTGTGCCTCAAGGCACCTGGGGGCTCAGTTGGTGAAGCGTCCGGCTCTCAGATTCGGCTCAGGTCACGATCTCACAGTTTGTGAGTTCGAGCCCCGCATCAGGCTCCGTGCTGACAGTGCAGAGCCTGCTTGGGATTCTCTCTCTCCTCTCTGCCCCTCCCTTGCTCGCTCTGTCTCTCTCTCTCTCTCTCTCTCTCTCTCTCTCTCTCTCTCTCCAAAAACAAACAAACTTTAAAGGATACTATGCCTTGCTCTTAACTTATATGAAATGCATAGAAAACTGTTCTTCAGTTTAAGGATGAGACTCTTAAGCATACAGGGGCTAAAATGTAACTGAATGAAAAATCCTCCTCCCAGAATACTGACACTACTTGGGGATTTGGGGAAAAGCTCATGCTTATTTCACCTGAGAATGAGTTTACTGTCTCAAACAGACGTCCCACGTCTAGGGCACAGTATGCTTCAGTCCTGCGCTAACATTGTACACGGTTATGGGTTGACAGTGTTGCTCTTTGACTTCTCATTTGAAGGAATGTATTTTTAAGTTCGAACAATCTTAATGTTACGTAAGGAAATTTTAAAAAGAAATCAGAAAATAACACAAGCAGAATATTAGTAAAAATAAAGCCAAAATGTACGTTTTCATCAGGCGGTTCTTTCTCTCCTTCGCCGTTTCTCAGTAACAGGCCGACCTTTTTCACCACACAGGAATTAGACAAGAAATTCCAACAGACAGCAGCTTATCGAAACATGAAAGAGATTCTCACCAGGAAGAATGACCAAATCAAAGACCTGAGGAGAAGACTGGCCAAGTAAGCCTTGCTGATCCCGCGCGGCTCTCGGGTTTGCATCACTGCCGGGTTGATGTTTGTTCTTCGTGAGATCTCAGCCTGTGTCCGGAGAGGTCAGGCCAGTGGGTAGTTAGCTGCTCTGTCATTTAGTCCAGAAGCCTGCGTCTGAGGAAAGCGTTGTCCGTACTGCCCGCCAGGGCTGGAACTTCAGACACACGGCTGCGACAGGCCGCTCTTGGCAACGGTCATTTAAGCAGGATATCAGAAAGGAAACCCAGCCAGCTTACGGGCGGCCTTGGCGTTTCTCCTCAGGAGTGTTCTCACAGGAGCCTAAGACCCAGCCACACTGTGCCCTCCGTGGCAGTTGAGGTGCCAGAGAATGCGGTCCCTGCAGATGGGCGCCGTAGCCGGCGTGGCCTAGGAGTTCATGTTCCACGCGACACCCAGGGAGGGCCGTGTCCGGTTCCGGGAGCTCACCACGTGGGGGGACGCCTGCAGCCGTGGCCCCCGCCACGCGGTCACGGTGCACCCACAACCGTCCCGATCCGGATGTGGTCGGCTCTTCAGGCTCCTTTCTGTCCTCAGCAGGTTCACCTGGAAACTCAGCCGACGTGTTACCTGGATTCCAGGGGAACAGAGCTGGGAAGTAAATCCAAGATCTAGTTCTTTAGAGAAGGGGGTTGGTTAACCTTCTCGCGTGGTCGTATCAGCACCCTGCGTCCATCTGACAGTTCGGGTGGTTACTGAGTTTCTGCTGTGCTAAGCTGCCGTGGGTCTAAGCGCCAGCTGTAGAGACTTAGAGTCCAGAAGCATCTTCACACTCGGTTGCCCCTTTCTCCCACCTGCTGCCAGAGCCACCTCCGCGTCACCGTCACACTGCCTTGACCGGGCCCGGCTCCCACCGGAGCAGTGACTTCGAGTGAAAAACGCAACGTTGCTGGTTTGGTCACCAGAGACGTTTCGCGTAAACTCATTTGGTAACGACGACAACGACAAAAAGTATCATGACGTTATGGTCTTCCCTGAATTTTCTTATCTCTTTCCAGATACGAACCCGAAGATTAAAACTCAAAGAAGATTTCTTCTGGAAGCTGCCACAGCATAAAAGTACAAGCTGTTTCTCACCTCAGACACGTATTTTGAAGCAGTTTGTTATATTCCCTCTCTTTATTTTTCTAATATATAGACTTTGCTTCTACTATTTAGAACTAGACTCCCTATTGTAGCTACCTGATTGAGCAGAGGGGAGCCTGCTGCCTGATCCCAGCCGGCCGGCCCAGACCCCTCTGCGGGCATTCCAGGGCCTCCGTTCCGATGCAGTGAGAACTCTTTGTGGTAAAGAAGAGATTTTAGAGCGGGAAGAAGAGCCTTCTCCTTCCGCATTAGCACAAAGCATATACCATTTCAGTAAATGTTAAAAATAAAGACAGTTATTAGAGATAGTTACTACAAATAAACCTTATTTTTCAAAATCTAATTCATTTTCTCTGTTTCATCATAAAAAAAAAAAGATACAAATGCCCTGAAAATGTGACCATCAACTTTTATAGGCAGTATTTTTACCAGTTAAAAGGAAAATGAACAGCAAACATGAGGATTCGATTAACTTCCGTCTCTCTAGCTAAACGCTGTGTTTATCAGAGGAGGACAGACATTTTTTGCAACCCAATTTACCATTGGATTACTGGGTTACTGATGGAGCAGTCAGATCCATCCCGTGCCGCCCAGTTAAAGTATCTGGGCTCACTGGGGCGCCTGGGGGGCTCAGTCAGTTGAGCATCCAACATCAACTCAGGTCATGATCTCATAGTTCGTGAGTTTGAGCCCCACATCGGGCTCTGTGCTGACAGCTCGGAGCCTGGAGCCTGCTTCGGATTCTGTGTCTTCCTCTCTCTCTCTGCCCCTCCGCTGCTCGTGCTCTGTCTCTCTGTCTCTCAAAAATAAGTAAATGTAAAAAACAAACAAACAAAAAAAAACCAGTGAGAGGAGGGAGGGACAAATCTGACAGGCCAGCCTTCATAGTGCATTCCTTCCGCACCTACCTCTCACCATGGACGTCACTCAATCTCTGTTCCTTCTAGAGCTTTCAGTGAGGATTCCAGTGTCCCCACATATTTCTTTAGCCCAGAATTGATACTCTTTCCGAAAATCTGTTCCGTTACTTAATGATCGGGATATTTGGAAACAGAACTTGCTAGTCTATTGGTCAGAAGGCATTTAATCATGTTCTCCCTGCGTCTTCCTTAGTTTGATGCTCACAGGGAAGGAAGAGGTGTTGAGAATCCTGTATCGCTGAGTAAGATTTCAACTTGGTTTTCGGTAGCGACTTTGAAATATTCTGTGTAGTGTGTTCCAGATCAATAATAAAGTCAAAAGCATTGCTGAAACCTTGAAACCTTAAAACCTAACTGTCCCACGTGAAGATAGATAAATACGACATTCTTTGACATAAACCAACATGACGACTCTTCCACATACAAATACTTCGTGCTCTGCTTTTGCTACTTTTCGCATGTCTGTTTAACTCGGGCCTTTAGCAAAATGAAGTGTTAAACGTTTATTTTTTTTTTTTTAATTTTTTTTTCAACGTTTATTTATTTTTGGGACAGAGAGAGACAGAGCATGAACGGGGGAGGGGCAGAGAGAGAGGGAGACACAGAATCGGAAACAGGCTCCAGGCTCTGAGCCATCAGCCCAGAGCCCGACGCGGGGCTCAAACTCACAGACCGCGAGATCGTGACCTGGCTGAAGTCGGACGCTTAACCGACTGCGCCACCCAGGCGCCCCTAAACGTTTATTTTTTGCACATTTACCTAGTTTTGAGATTTCCCTCATCTGACCAAGAAAGCAAGCCTCTTTGGTCTATATATTCTGGGTTCCTAAGAATGTTGGCTCGAGCCTTGACTGAACTTTCGATTGTGCTGAGCTGTCTAGATGGCGCATTCCTGGCTGTCGGGACGCAGCTTTGGCTCAGCTTAAAAATTCAAGGCTCCTGCTCAATTATGGCTCAGACCTTTTGATGACAGAAGCAGCATAAAGGGGTTTTGTTACTAATTTCTGCTGTTCAACATTTAAGGGCTTGTTTTTTCTCAGTATGCAGTACATTCTGAGTCTAGAGTGAGTAATCCTGTTTGATAAAAAACTTTGCTATTCGTTATGTCTATTCTTATGAACCGAAACGATCCGTAGAGATGCTTACATTTTTATTTATTTATTATTATTTTTTTTAACGTTTATTTATTTTTGGGACAGAGAGAGAGCATGAACAGGGGAGGGGCAGAGAGAGAGGGAGACACAGAATCGGAAACAGGCTCCAGGCTCTGAGCCATCAGCCCAGAGCCTGACGCGGGGCTCGAACTCACGGAGCGCGAGATCGTGACCTGGCTGAAGTCGGACGCTTAACCGACTGCGCCACCCAGGCGCCCCGAGATGCTTACATTTTTAAATGGCATGCACACATTGGACACTAATGATTCTTTCGCTGATGTAGAAATGCTTCTATTCTAAAGCTTTTCCATTAGAAG